TTTTAACTGTATGTGTCAGTATTTATCTTTATTTTTATTCTTTTCTAACTTTTTTAATATTGTCATCATACATTGTGGAATGGCAAAGAAAATAACCTCATATTTCACAAGAATAAACACATTTTTACCAACAAACATAACTGAGTTTAAGGCACTTTTCTCAACTTAAATTTTAATCATTAGCACAACAATGGAATTATCAATCGATTCAATTTGGTATAATGTCTTCCTTTCAAGAAGCACTTAGGAAGACAAAGTCTTAATTAGTATAAATCATCAATACATCAAGTTAGTTGTAGGTCATAAAGGAACATGATTCCTGGTAACTGATAGAACAAAGACATTTAGGCTACAGCCTGTGCAGTGACTTCCTCCAGCAGTGGTTTGGTCAACTCTGAGTCATCAGTGCTCACCAAAAAACATTCCTCTCTGGGAATCCGTCTCCTTCCTGAGCGGCATGATGGTTGCACATTCCCATGTTTTTTATACTTGCATATTGTTGTCTGAATGTGGGACCTTCAGGCATCTGGAAATTGCACCTAAGGATGAGCCACAATTGTGTAGGTCCACAATTCTTTTCCTGATGCCTTCATTGATTTCTTTTGATTTTCTCATGATGTCAAAGAAAGAGGCCCTCCTCCTCCTTCTTCTTCTTTATATTGTTTATTGGCAGTTGGCAAACAACAAATTGGTGCATTACCGCCACCAACTAATGTGGAGTGTAGAAAGAGTCTCTGTGTTTGGGGTGTGCCTTTATTAGCGTTCACAGGTGTGCCACCAATTAACTCAAATGGACTCAATTAACCTATAAGAAGCTTCTTAAGCTCAGAATAAAATCGTATGAAGGTTTCTTTTTGTTTAAAGACACAATAAACTTAGTGTATGTATACTTCTGACTTTGATGAAAGTGTTTCACAAATACAAAAAATATGTTAATATTTATTGATCTAAAACCAAAAAGTTTACTCTGATTTGATGTTTGACGAAAAAGAGAAAAAAAAAGGTATTCGTGTCTTTTTGTATGTAAATATCTGGTTTTAACTGTATGTGTTTTATCGCACGTGTGTCTTCTTATGTATCTGTGTAGGCTACTTTAAATGTAGTTTATAACACTGAAACTCAGTTGTGCTGATTTCAAAGCTAAAGATTTATTCACTGACCAAACACATTATAATAACATCTCAGTTGATGACTCAGTCTACTTTGTCTCCTCCCTGTTTTGGAACAGCCCAGGAGCGGCTGCACTTCCTCCAAGTCCTGAGGAAGAATAAACTGGACCAGAAGATGCTGCTCCCACACCTCCAGACTCACCATTCAGACAACTCTGACGGTGGTGATGGCTGTAGCTCAGGAGGCAGAGCAGGTCGCTTACTTATCAGAAAGTTGGTGGTTCAATCTCTGGCTTTCACAGTCCGCATGCTAAATTTTCTTGGGCAAGTTGCATCCATCAGAGAATCAATTTGTGTGAATGTTTAAATAGAAAATACTTAAGCAGCATAGAAGAAAATTAATGTAGTATGTTGTCTTAAGTGCTTTGAGTGCTTCAGGAGAGTAGAGAAGCACTATATAAGGATCAGTCCATTTGCTAATAAACATCATTTGTTTGTTTTGTATATTTCCCTCTTGATTGTATAAACGTGTCCTGTTCATATTTTATTCCGGCAAGCTTGGTCATTGTACAGAGAAAATGATAATAAATGGCTTTTCTATTCTATTCAGTGACAACAGCAGATAATCAAAGATCCCAATCAGCCATGATTATTGATTAGAGTTCTGGACAGCTGCACATTACAAAGTGTTCTGCAGTGAATTAGCCCCACACTTTTTCCACAGATTTTAACACACAATTTTTACTTCTCAACTACCTTTGAAATTTTTTTTTAAAGGAACTCAAATGCTGATGAAATGTGCAACAGATTTCTTTATTTTTATGTATCATGGCCCAATATTGTCAAAAAAAAAAGAAAAAGAAAGAAAGAAAAGCAACAACAAAGCATACAAAGCATGTGGCATACTATCTGGAGGAAGGCACACTGAAGAGAAAAAGTAGAGATTTAGAAATACATTCAATTTGCAGTATATAAAAGTGCAAGAGAAGTGCATGATAATGTTGCAGTACACGGTGAAAGCTATGAAGGCACATGGTTACAAAGCCTCACAGCACAATTACATTCAGACTGTAGGCTTAGTGGTCCTCTAGAAGTGGTGTGTAGAGCTCTGGGTCATCAGTGCTCTAAAAAAGAGAATATTGGTAAAGTAAAATGACGCTGAATAAATCTGTTTGGCTTTTGAGCAAGTCACCAAATATTCATAAACTTCCACATAAGAACTCACACAAAACAAAAACAAAAGAAAAAAACCCTAAACATATTCGGCCAACATTTTCTGCGATGCTAGTCTGTTACCTTGGTTTGTCCCTTTTCTTTGCTCTTCAGACTCTTGATCCCCAAGACGACTGAGCTGATGGTGACGCAGAGCTCCAGGACTGACAGCACAATTAGCACAGCAATGATGCTTCTGTAGAGCATCTGTTGGGATACAAACAACAGTGCTCAATTTTATTGCAGTAATAAAAGGATCAGAGGCTCAGACCCTTTGACCGGAGAGTGGGCGGAGACTTCTGTACAGACGTGACTGTGATCGCAAGATCAAAAACCTATATACAGTGGTCCCTCGTTTATCATGGGAGTAACGTTCTGAAAATGCTCGCAAAGTTCAAACCTTTGTAGAAAAATAATTTCAGCATTATAGAATGAAACCAAAGATCAAACCCTGTTTTCAGGTCCAGAACATGAGAATAGAGAAGCTGCCAGAGAATCCAACATCAATGAATCAATGGTGTAGAAATAAAGGAAGCAAGAAGAAGTTGAGTAAAGTTTGACTTATCTGACTGTTTCTGTAAATTCTATGGTAGTGGTACCACCATAGTGGTAATTAACTACGTTAACATCTACCTTCCTTTAGCATGTCCAGAAGTCCAAGTTTTTGTGCGATGGTTAGCATCTTCCTCTGCCTTTTGGGTGCTAGCGCAGGTTCCTTTGATGGTGCCAAACGTTTCATTGACATTGTTGTGTCAGTTGGAGAGAAAACTTACAAACATATAGTACAGCACTTCAGAGTTACACTGCTAGCGATCAAAGATTTATGTAAATTTGACGTTCTGTACAGGAGTCAAATTTTTTTTCTCAAGAGCATGCAAAATTGCACAAAAAAAAAATCTGCGGAAAAGTGAGACCACGAAAGGTGAACCGCATTTTAGCGAGGGACCACTGTATACTATTATCTGATCACCAGCTGCAAATCCATAGATTTCAGAAGCAAAAACCTGTGATTATATCGACAAAACAATTTAATAATTATTCGATTATAAACAATTATTTTCCACTTGTCAGTTAGGTAATTTAACTTGTATGTAAACTGCTGAACTAACGCTTACCTTAATTAAAGCTTTGGCCTCCAAGCATCTCTCCTGTAGTATCATCTGTTCAGGAGACAGACTTGGTGTTGTATGATGGCCATACCAGTAGTCGGGCTCCCCACAAATGTTCCACAAATATAGATTAGATACACTGATGCTATACAGCACAATGGCTGCAATGGCAAAAGCAACGCCAGTAAGATTCAGAATCACATTGACGATAACCTGAAATACAAGATGGGTCAGTTAATGTAAAATAAAATTTTAAACATTAGAAGGCTGGTCGGTTAACAGTTTTACAGTCAGTCAATGCAGGAAAGCTTGCAATGGTTGGCATTAATCTTACATCTACATAGATGTGCATACATGAGACCTGGCACAAGTGTGTATATTGAAATATTATACGTCTACTTTTATATCTTCAACTTAGACAACAAAATTCAAGTCGTCCTTCTAGGATATATCTGGACTACTCACCAGACATGGACTTGGATACTTGTCAGACAAAATGCTGACGATTCCAAACATGATGAACTACACAAGACAAAAAAAAAAAAAACAAAGACAATAAAGTTTAATTCCTTCCCATGTGTAATTTAACTGAATGAGGAGACACATCATGTGTTTAAGGTGACAATAAGAAACAGCAGCTTATCAATAAAACCACAGAAGTAAGGGATTAAGATTTCAATTGATAAAACACATTTGATTTCATAAGATTCTCCAGCTTTGTCTTAAGCGCCAACTCTGACACTCTACATACTCTGAACTACAGGCTCAATTCTGAAGAGTTGAAATGGGTTTAAAATGTAAATGAAAATAGAATGCAATGATTGGTAAACTTCATATGCCCTTATGTATTTATTTATTTATTTTACAGTAAAACTGAGAAAATTTGCAATTACAAAAAAGAAAAGGAGAATTTTTTTATCTGATGTTGACTACTGTGTAGCTCCCCTCTTTTAACAACAGCCCAAAACATTTGGGAACTGTAGAGAGCAGCCGATGGACTTTTGGAAGAGGAATGTTGTCCCTTTCTTTTCCGACTCAGAGGATTCTAGTTGAGGAAAAAGCTGCTTCGCTTGCTTACCAACCCTCCCATCCAAAAAGGGTAGCCGGTTTCACGTATGGTCCATAATCCAACATATCGGCTTACAAGGATTGTTCCGAGTCCAACACTGAGAAGCCCAATCATAATCTGCAGAGTCTGACAAAGAAGAAGCACAGAATTAACAACTGGTGATGTAGATGTTTAACACCAGTCATAGGATATGCTGCATACTGGAGCACTTTCTCTAAGTCTTTTTCTGTAGTGTGATAAGAAAACTCTTAAACTATCCATCCATTCTCTTCTGCTTATTCAGGGTTGCGGGGGCCTGGAGCCTATCCCAGCTGTCTGAGGGCGAGATGTAGGGTACTCCCTAGACAGATCGCCAGTCTGTCACAGGGCAAACACATCGAGACAGACAAACATTCACAACCACATACACACCTTAAAGCGATTTTAGAGTTACCAATTAACCTGACCTAACCTAACCCCACTAACCGCATGCCTTTGGACTGTGGGAGGAAGCCGAAGAGGACATCGCTAACCATTGTGCTGCCCTGTTTTAAACCACAGTGGATAACTTTTTACTTTTCTTCACTTTTAAGTCCAATAAATTTGTCAGTGAGAGAGTTAGACTCACGTGAGAGTTAGACTCACGTGGGGTAAGGAAACATGACACTGATACAAAGCCGGTGGCATCCCTGACACATAAAATTTACCTTTACTCTGTCTTCTTGGAAGGCTTTCTGACACAGTGTTTTATCTCCTGAATGTTTAAAATGATTTGAATTACTCGACACACACGCGCGCGCGCGCATGCACACGCACACACACACACACGCGTAAAGGGGAGTACACAAACTATATTCTGTGTTATAAAAGCTATATATAACTATATATATATTCAATTCGACTTATACAGCGCCAAATCACAACAACAGTCGCCTCAAGGCGCTTTATAATGTACAGTAGATTGTACAATAATGGACACAGAGAAAAGCCCAACAATCATATGACCCCCTATGAGCAAGCACTTTGATGACAGTGGGAAGGAAAAGCTCCCTTTTAACAGGAAGAAACCTCCGGCAGAACCAGGCTCAGGGAGGGGCGGGACCATCTGCTGTGATTGGTTGGGGTGAGAAAAGGAAGATAGGATAAAGACATGCTGTGGAAGAGAGAAAGAGATCAATAACAGGTATGATTTGATGCAGAGAGGTCTATTAACACATAGTGAGTGAGAAAGGTGAGAAAATGCTTTAGCAAAAAGGAAAGCTTGAAACCTAATCTTAAGAGTAGTGATAGTGTCTGTCTCCTGAATCCAAACTGGAAGCTGGTTCCACAGAAGAGGGACCTGAAAACTGAAGGCTCTGCCTCCCATTCTACTTTTAAATACTCTAGGAACAACAAGTTTTCGAGACCAGCAAAGCGCTTTACAATTCCACTATTAATTCACACACTGGTGGAGGCAAGCTACAGGTGTAGCCACAGCTGCCCTGGGGCAGACTGACAGAAGCGAGGTATTTGAATCCTTAAAGGTTGTAGCTCACCCCCAGCACTGTCTGAGAGGTTCTGTTGAGGCTCCTCAGGCGCTGTGACACGGTGCAGCACACTGGACTGTAGCAAAGGTTCTTGAGGATCTGGCACAGAGGAGGCCAAGAGCTATCAGGGTCAGAGGTCAAGGTGAACACAGTGACCCCATCAGCCTTAGACACAGTGACAGACATCCTGCCTGTAGATCCTGGAGACTGAAAGAGAGAAGAGTACATAAAAATGAACATTAAGGCCCCAGCTGTGGAGAAATGCCTGAACTCATCGAAGTATTGAAACAAAATATTCATTTAACTTCTGCAACTAACAAAATTAAAAATCCAAATCACTCAATACCTATTATCTTATATTAACTCTTATAACTCACCTTATAATGATGTCGAGCTCCATTAACAGTGACTTACACTGTCTGTTAATTCTAATGAAATTAAAAAAAACAACTTGTATATAAATAAATAACTACATTAAGTGATGCAGTTGTGTTTGCAGTTATAACAAGATGCTATACATTTCAATATTAGATAAAGATGATGAGTAACTGAATAACAGTACTGAAGATAAACACTCACAGTCACTTTATTAACCATTAAACTACTCGTTAGTGGAAATATCTAATGAAAGCACTTTAAAGTATTTAAGCATGTGGACATTGAAAAGATAAAGTGAAGAAAGGTGATTTAAATGACTCTGAATGGGGCGTGGTCTTTGGTGACAGATGGGCTGGTCTGAATATTACAGAAACTGATGATGAGAGAACTATCTCTAAGGTTTACAGAAAAATGTCCATAATAAAGAATTCAGGGACCTGCAGAAATGCGTTGTTGATTATAGAGGTCAGAGGAAAATGGCCAGACTGCTTTGACAATAAACGAAGCAAGACTAACTCCCATAATCACTCACCGCGACCAACGTATGCAGAGAACGCTCTGAACGCTCAACATGTCGAAGCTTCGTTGCAAATTTTGGACGCAGGTCAGAATTTAGTGTAAACAAAAGCCTGGCTGCACCCAATAAAGTGGCTTTGGATAGTTTTTCTGAAACCGAAACTGAGAAATCATGAAACGAATATAAACGAAGTAACAGAGTAAAGCTGGTGTATGAAAACTTCAGAACGTAATTCTCTTTTCATTAGCTTTGTTGACATTTTTGCAATCCTCTAAACTTTTTTTGGGGTCCTCCGCATATTAGGAAAGTGCTGTAACCTACCAGAGAGAAAACTCGACGGACATGTGCTGCAAAGCGGACGAAACTCGACTTTACTCCTGTGAGTGAAAGTCCAAAAAAATTAAGTGACTGCGCCACTACCAGCAGCAGGGAGCGAAACTGCGCCGACTGTTCCGGGAAATCGAGCCACGACCACAAAAACAAACATGTATGTAAAAAAGTCTTTGATCAAAGTCTTTGTTCTCGACAGTAATACGACGTAATTTAACAATTACAGTAATACAGCTCCACCTGTGACTGGCACCACGGAGCGCATTGCAGCGTTCCAAGTTAGTCCTACAGGCCCGCTTTGATCTACAGCCCCTGTTTACCAATGATTACGTCACATTAACCTGAATTACAATACAAAATCAATAAAACAAACAAACTTACTTGTCAGAGGAGAAGAAAAGCAACCAAAAGCCAAATTAATATCTGGTTGTGTGTTTGTTGCGCAGCTATTGCTGGATGAGATTTTCCAGTTGTTCCTCCGCCCATAAGGACAATATAAAAATTAACCCTTTGCTCAACATCCAATTACACACAAAGATAATTGAAAAAAATCAAATGTGGAAGAATTACCCTCACTAGCAAAACGGAACAATACAGTGAAAAACGTTGGTGGACTAATTTAACTAAACTAATTTAGGACTAATAACCAGATTATAATAATCAACGCACTGATTTTGATCTATTTATTCAGGCATTAAGTGAATCAGCAAATTGTTGTAGAAATCCAGGTAAATGAATTTTGGATTTCGGTTTGTTTCCTAAGTGGACAGTTTGCTTTCACTGGAAGTGTGATTGACTTGGGGTTACTGTGTTAAGTCAGGGGTGGGGGAACTCCAGGCCTCGAGAGCTATGGCGTTATTTTTGTGCCACTATTCTGAGCGCACGTAAAAAAAATTTGAGCGCACGTAAAAAAAATTTGAGCGCACGTAAAAAAATTTTGCAGGTGCATGTGTTGAATTTTGAGGAGAAATTTATTTTGAGCGAAGAAAAGCTGAATTTGAGTGAACAAAATTCATTCCTGCGTGCAAAAAATGTATTTCAGTGTTTTTATTATCCACATACACACACCAGCAGCCCCTCCCGCTCAGTTTTTGCATTTGCGCTCGCTCGCAATGTGTTGCTCGCGCTCTCAACATTTCTGCCCATGCGCGCTCAACTCTTTCTCTACACCGTTATAGTTGTGCCACAAAACCAGCCAATCACAGACTTAGATACAAATAAATCTGATTGGCTGTTCTGCTCTCCAATCAGCTCGAAATGACGAAATGCAATATCCCAGAATCCATTTCGTCCAAAACTCAAAGGAGGCAGTGGCGGAGGAACACAGAGTGGCAGAGTTTGAATTATTACTCTTTCTGGGTCACAAAATAAAATTTACAAAAAAATAAACAAAAAAAAGGAAAAACTGGAATAAAAATATAAATCTGACACTAAAAAAAATAAAAAAATCTAAGACTTGTCCAGCAAAACAACAGCCAAGAAAAAAAAAAAAAAAAAAAAAAAAAAAAAAACAACAAAAAAAAAAAAAAATTAATGAAAAAGAAAGAAAAGAACCAGCAAATGAAAAAAAAAATTTAAAAAAAAAAAAAAAATTTAAAAAAAAAAAATTAAAAAAAAAAAAAAAAACAATCGTAAGTAAAAAATAAAAAAAAAAAAAAACGAATAAAAAGTATGAAAATTATAAAAAAAAAAAAAACAGTCGAAAAATCGGAAAACAAAAATAAAAATAAATGAAAATAAAAAAAAACTGTATGCATTGTAATAAAAAAGAAAAAAAAAACCAATAATCAAATAAAAAAAAGAAAATTGTAAAATAAAAATAAAATGAAAAATGACAAATAAAACTGAAAAAAAAAAGAAAATAAAAAATACACTTAAAAAATATAAAAAGGAAAAAAAACAATAAAAAAAATCACACAAAAAAAACAAAACAAATACATAAAAAAATAACAAAAACACAAATAGATAAACACAAAAAATAAAAATAAAAAATAAGAAAAAATAAAGAAAAAAGAAGAAAAAAGAGAAAAGAAAAAAGAAAAAAGAAAGAGAGAAGAAAAAGAAAAAGAAAAAAAGGGAAAAAAGGGAAAAAAATAAAAAAAAAAAAAAAAAAATAAAAAAAGAAAAAGAAGAAAAAGAAAAAAGAAAAAAAGACAAAAACAAAAAAAAAATAAATAAAAAAAGAAAATGAAATGCCAAAAAAATCAAAAACAATCCAACAAAATATTAAAAATAACAAACAAAAATTTCAGATCAAAAAAAAAAATACCGAAAAAAAAAAAAAAGAAAAAATAAAATAAACTAAGATATTTTCATGCGAGAATGGTGCTGTGTAAACTTCAAATATCTGCTCGATTTATCAAGACATCACATATTTGCATAAGTGCTCTAACTGTTTTGGAGATGCCTGTTGTAACCAGCTTATGGCCGTGTCCTAAGACCTGGTGGGCTGGTCTCCAGCCAAAATGCCGGGCCGATTTTTTTTGTCCCATTCCAGCACCGGTTCAGCCCTTAGCGCTTTTTTTTTTCTTGTTTTCAGTGGTAATGCCTATGATTGTGCCAGAGCACATTTCAATCAACCATGGGCATTTCACAGGGCCCCTGGACGACATGTTTCCCTCTCACCAGATATCCAAAGATTCATGACCACAGCTGTGGCTCCAGCAAACATCAGCTGATACTAGAAATTAATATTAAATAAATTCTAACAACAGCTGATCAAGCTTAAACTGCTGCTGTTGTTTAGCGCGACATCCGCTGGTTTCCTCTTTCTGGCGCAAAGTGGGCGATAAACAAACAAGAGAGCTGATCAGCTGATCATTGATCAGTTTCATGATTGAAGTAGAGACAGAGAGGGGGGGGAGAATGAAGAAGATGCAGCTGTGCAGCAAAGACACAGAATAACTCCAGCTTTGTGCCTTTTTCCATTCTAGCTGAATCTGGGACAAACTGACGTCCCTTCTCAGCTCAATACGAAACACGTAAGAACGCATTCCGATTTAATGGAGCGGTTGGCAACTCTACTAACTAACCTTATGAATAAAATAAAGTTCACTATCAGTAACATCATAGCACCCACCCAGCTGTATAGAAACTCCATCATGCTAGCTAGTACGCAGTACGAGTTATTGTAACTGACTGTAAAAAGTCAGCACAA